CGTCATAGACAACGGGTCAAGGTTTTTACCTTTGGTTCTTGTTGCGACATAAACAACGGGTCAAGGTCTTATTATAAACCTGATTTAGCTTTCCTGAGTTTAAAAATCCCTTGTCGTGCTGTGGGTCTCATTGTTCTCTTTGGGGTTCTCATAAAAAATGCAATAGGTCGCCGCTCTTGCATCAAAACAGCGCCACAATACCTGATGCATCACATTCAATTTCAAAAGTTTTAGTAAAATCAGGTAAAGCAAGTAATGGTGCAGAAATTAAATTTTCCTTAATTAAATTGAAAGCATTCTCCTGTTCACTTTCCCACTTAAATCCAACACTTTTTTTCACAATTTCAGTCAATGGTGCTGCAATTGTGCTGAAATCCTTGATGAATCTCCAGTAGAAACTCGCCAAACCATGAAAACTCCGCACCTCAGAAATATTTTTAGGTGTTGGCCATTCTTTGCCTTAACCTTTTCTTCATCTACTGCGATTCCATCAGCTGAAACAACATACCCTAAAAAAACAATCTGATTTGTGCTAACGCAAATAACTTTTCTTTTCTCAACACCTCTAGTACCATTCGCACATGCTCAATATGTTCAATTAAATTCTTGCTATCAGAATGTCATCAAAATAAACAACCACAAATTTGCCAATGAAAGCACGCAAAACATGATTTATTAATCGCATGAATGTACTAGGTGCATTAGTTAATCCAAATGGCATAACTAACCACTCATATAAATCATGTTTCATTTTAAAGGCTGTTTCCCATTCATCTCCTTCCTTCATCCTAATCTGATGATATCCACTCTTTAAATCAATTTTAGAGAATATGCAAGAACCATGCAACTCATCTAACATGTCATCTAATCTAGGAATAGGGTGACGATACTTTACAGTGATTTTGTTGACCGCGCGACAATCAACACACATATGCCAAGTCCCATCCTTCTTAGGCACAAGTAGCACTGGTACTACACATGGACTCATGCTTTCTCTCACATGTCCCTTTTATCAAGACGACAGCATATCTACCACGTCATGTGATCCATTACACACCCAAGGAGGTCCAGTCACACGAGCTAGAGCTAAGAAGATGCGTGAAGTTTTAAATGGCCTTATTGAGCAGATCTGGGTTGAAAACAACATACAACAAGCAAATCGAAGCTAGGATGATTATCAAGGCATGATAAACATCATTCAGGTTCAAGAGAAGCTTAATTGAGGTCATTTATGCTAAATTACACAGTTTGCGTCAATCTCGCAATTCTATTGCAATTTGTAACAAATTGATATTTCATGTTACTTTAGGCTACTTTTAGTGATTTTCACGTTTTTTATATTATTTTGGGCTGAACATTCATTTATTTAAGGCCCAATTCGTGGTTATTATGATTAGG